GAGTTCAGGCCCCACGACTGGACCCCCCCCCCAAAAAAATTATTTTAAGTAGCACTTTGAAGAAACTAGACAAAGGTTATCAAACTTCCTGCTCAAGTCTTTTCATTATCCTAAGGTTCATAAAAATCACTCAGTAATACATTTACTGATGTTATCACAGTGGTAGGTGTAGGTGGCCTAGCTGTCGTGAGTGATATAAAATAGATCACGATCTTCTTCCTCATCCCTACAGACAGCATCTCACTACCTGGGGCAATTTTTTTTCCTCAGAAAAATAATGCATTTCATATTCTGATATATCTTCATACCTGAAGGGGAGACTTCTATTTCTTGAATATTGCTCAGATTATCTGTTGTTTTATAACAAACAATTGCAGAGCTTACCACTTTAAAACAGTCAGTGTTTTCATGACTTTGTGGGTCAAGAATATCCACAGGGGTCAGGCAGGTGATTGATTTTTCTCATCTGTGTGATGTTGACAGAAGTTCCTTAGTGACACTTAGCTGCTTGCTCAATGTATTAGTCTTTTATCTTATCTGTATTACCACTTTTTTTTTTTCTGAGTTAGGATCTCATTGTATAGGATCTCATAGCCTAGGAAGACCTTGAACTTGGAATTCTCCTGTCTCTGCCTCCCAAGTTCCCAAATGCTAGGATTAAAGATATTGTATGTCATTTAACACATATTAAGTCAGTCCCAGCTTTTTGTTGTTGTTGTTGTTCCAGTCCTGAGGCTTGAATTCATGGACTGGGTGCTGTCTCTGAACTTTTTTGCTCAAGTATAATGCTCTACCACTTGAGCCATAGCTCTACTTCTAGCTTTTTGGTTGTTAATTGGAGATGAGTCTCATGGATTTTCCAGTCTAGGCTGGCTCTGAACTGTGATTCTCAGATCTCGGCCTCCTGAGTTAGCAAAGATTATAGGCATGAGCCACTGGTGCCAAGCTCCAGTTACTCTTAGGTATGGTCCCTTGGTAGGGAAAGCTGGAAGTCTAGAAACATCAACTATAGTGCGTGCATATGGCCTTCTCCGTATGGTAGCCTTATGGTTCTGGGGATTTCTTAAATGGCTCCAAAGGTGACTGTTTCAGAGAATAAGTCTGTATGACCTTTGATAACCTGTCTCAGAGGTCATAGACTCACTTCAGATCCAGTCTGTTGACTAGGTCAATCACTCAGATTGAAAAAATGAAGGCACATAAACCTCACCTGTCCCCAAAAGGAATGCCAGAAAATCTGTGGCCATGTTTTAAAATCACCACATACATGGGTAAATTTAAGCAAAAAAAATACAAATGTTCTTCTTTTCCATACTGTCTATATAGAAGGACTCTCTATTACAGGTGGGTTGTCAACATCACATCCAGTGTCCAGCTTTGTCTGCAGTCCTGTCTACAGCATGTTCTTCCCATGCTTTAGTCCAAAAGGAGCCATTTTGTCTCCTGATCTGTGCCAAGCGATTCTTCTGCTTGCTTTCATGTCAAATTTCAGTAACATTGCTTCAGTTTATCTTTAGACCTTAGGCTGAGATGCTTTAAAGTAAAAGAATACTGAGGGAGAGAAATAGTGTCTCCATCCCTTCTTCCTGGTATACATGTCTGTTAAGTGTTTGCTGAGCCCACTTTGAAAGAAGCCAGTTTCAGCAAGTGACTTTGTGGTTCTTTTTCCTTTTAGGTATCTGTTTCCAAGGCAGCTACTAGTCAAGCATTTCTGGACCCCCAAACAACAAGTTGATTTCTTAGATGCCTATGATGCTCTCCGGAAGCGGTCCCACTCAGAAATCATTAGTTATTTAGAAAGAGCCATCCCTCTTCTTTCTGACACAGGGCTTCGGTGGCATCTGAAAGATCTATGTGCCAAGGTATTCCTCTGGCTAACTCTTCGTGCACATTTAGGAATCTAGTGAAATCCAATATGCACTAAGCTAGGTGAGAGAGCCAGTCAGGACCTTCCTAATATCTCCCCAAATTCTTGCCCCTCCCAAGATACAGAATGGTACCCACCCAGCAGTCCATGATATTCTGGCTCTCAAAGAGTGTTTCTGCAGTCATCCTTTGGGCATGAACCAACTACAGGCTATACAAATTGTGAGTACTTTGAGGCCTTCTCATTTCCTCAGCCTTATCCTATTTGGGGTCTTTGCTTATGGGCAATCTATTTGACTTTCTCTTATTCTGGGCTCTCACAGAAAGCCTTGAGCCGAGCCATGCTTCTCACACCTTACCTGCCTCCTCCTTTGTTGAAATACCGCTTGAAGACACATACCACAGTGATTCATCAGCTGGACAGAGCTCTGGCAAAGCTGGGGATTGGCCAGCTGACTGCTCAAGAAGTAAAATCGGTATAGTATCCCACAATGGGCTGAAAGGTTATAGAGCTCCTTGTCTGGCTTATTGGATCAAAATCCAGGTGCTTCCATCACAATGTACCTAATTGTAGGAATGAATTGTCCACAGTAATTTTTTTTTCTCCTGACGCTTCATAAACCAAGGACCCTAAGCTTGGTATGTTAGCACATACCTGTAATCCTAGCACTTAGGAGGTAAGGGAAGGCGGAAGTGAGAGGGTCTTGATTCCCAGGCTAGCTGGGCTACATAGATTGTGTTAAAACAGAACAACAACAAAAACTAAAAATTCTACATTTTGCACCTACTGTCTTGTTTAGATAGGTGTGTTAGTTTCCCATTATTGTAATAAATAGCTGAGAGGGAAGTTTTGGAGGTTTTAGTCTATGATCATTTGACCAATTGCTTTTAATCCTGTGATGAGGCAGTGCATCCCAGCAGTGAGTGTCTATGGGAGCAAAGCTGCTCACCTGTTGCATCTGGAAAGTGAGGACAGGAGGAAGGTTGCCTTGTCCCAATGACCAGAAGACTTCTCAGTAGGCAGCATTCTTATAGTTTCCACCAAGTAGGGAACTAATCCTTTCATTTTTCTTAGGTCTTGTGCATGCTGATCAAGCATTGTACCTCTGACATACACCCCTGTCTTGGGACTAAGCCTTTAGAACATAAGTTTTTGTATGCCATTTCAGCTGTAGCATTAGGCCTCTTTGCCTCTCATCCATCAGTTCAAAGTACCATGGTGAAAAGTTTCTCATGAGGTTGTACCATTTAAAAAGGATTCAGGATGTGGCATTTTGGCACACATCTGTAATACCAGCACACAGGAAGCCAAAGCAGGGACTCCCAAGTTTGAGGCCAGCCTGGGCTACATAGTGACACATCCTATCTCATGTCAAAAGGAAAGGAGCTTGAGGAATACTTGTAGATTTCCATTTCTGACTTGGTATGATTATTAAGGGCATTTCTCTTCTGGGTGGTTTAGGCTTGTTTTCTTCGTGGACTGAATTCTACACATATTGCTGAAGACAGATGTCGAACTTGGCTAGGAGATTGGCTACAGATTTCCTGCAGCCTGAAAGGTAAGACCCATTTCTCTGATCATGCCAATGAAGTCCATTTCATTTTTGTATTTTATCCAGAGTTATTGATTACTTTGTGATTACTTTATTTAACATCTGATTGAAAAGGTATGAACTCATATGCCTCTTCCCTTGCCTAGGCAGAGTAAGGTGGACTGGCAGGAAGGAGGGGAGGGCATGCTGATCTGAAGCACTTTATTACCTTTGTCATTTTTTATTTTTTTTTTTGTTGTAGGGACTATTTTGTGCTTGAAAGGATAATTATCCATATATCTGGCTTTTGTCTCCACTTGTGACAATCAAAATACCTGGGAAAGTGTGAGATGTTCCCTGGGTTGAGGTATAGAGTAAGAGGAGAAGGGCAGGATTGAGAAGCACTGGTCTGAAGACTAAAACTAGAATTCCCTACTGGCTAAACAGGAATGATCTGAGGTTGGGCATCAGCACCATCGGTCTCCTGTTTGGAAGTTTTGGCCTTTCTAGGCCTATAGTTATTACTTGTCTGGAAGCTGAGACTGGTCTTTATGGTACCAGTGCCTACTGGAAGAATCCCAAGGCAACAAAAGTGTTTAGTACTTCTGGCTATTCTATTCCCATCAGCAAAATCAAAATATTTCTTGAGAACCAAGAAATAAGAGGATGAGTTGATAGAAATATATAGTGTGAGGGAGAAAAAGCATGCGTGCAGGGCTGGAACGAAGCAGGGAATAGACTCTTGATTCCATGCCTTCCTACATCCTGTTTTAAGTCTCCAAGGCAGTTAGAAGACAAATCATTCTTTAGCCAAACCACTAACACTGATGGTGTTTTCAGAGGCGGAGCTGTCCCTATTGCTGCACAACGTGGTCCTACTCTCCACCAACTACCTTAGGACAAGGCGCTGAGTGAACCCTGGAGTGGATGGCATTGTCCTACAGTCGCATAGTACAGCAGTGTGGGACCAAAGAGCTTGTCAGAAGAATATGTGTGCACTGTTAGGTGTGTGGGGTCAAAGGAGCAGGTGCCATGGGCTTCATAGAAGCACGCTATCCACGCGGGAACTACATTCCTCTCACGGCTCAAGCTAAAACCCTCTTCACAAGAGTGGCCCACGTGAGGCATCATCCCTTCTTCCTTGTACTAAACTGGAGCTGGCAGAACCTCTGCACCAGTCTTGGCTCGTGATGTGTTGTTTCAGTCCTCTAAAGTCAGGTTTTGCCTGAGGTGGGAATCATGTGTCCTGACTTGACTGGTTTTTTTGGGGGGGTTGGGGGGGGGGAGTCTGGCTGTATTGCCCAGGCTGGCCTCAAACTCCTAAGGTTTGAGGGATCTTTCCACCTCAGCCTTCTGAGTAACCTGGACTACAGGTGTTCAACACCACACCTGGCTTCACTGCCATGTTTTTCATAGCTGTTTTTCCCCCATAGGATTCCTAGCTGATCAGAATTGCACTTAGACTGGAGCATAAAAATCTTTGTATTTTTGAGTGCTCTCTTCTATCCTGCTATGACCAAAAATGGGACATTTTTCTTTTGTCCTTACTGGCATGGATTAACCACTCCCTTTCAAATACCTTCACTTTTTTTTTTTTTTTTAAATAACTTAAGGGAACATTGTAAAGGAAAAGCTAGAAAGGAAGTGCTGACTGGTCTCTTCCCCAGTGTTTACAGCCTTCAGCCCCTATTGTCTTAAGGGCTGTTATACAGTCCCCATGGATCTTAAATTACTTGCTACCTCCACTGTTGCAGAAACCCAACTATAACCGACAGTGGCTGTCTCCTTTGGGCCATAGGTCAAAACTGGTGAAGGTACTACCCAGCCCTGGGAGACCAGGAGAGATTGACATTAAGATAGTAAGTTATGTTTAGCTTTTGTGTGTACATCTATGACCTGTAGTTCTGTAATAACTTACTATAAATGCATGAAGCACTGTTTGAACCCAAGACTGCCTGAAATATGCTGATGGAAATTATTCTTGTACAACCTAATCACTTTTCTAAGGCTCCTTTTACAAGACTGACATAATCTAATGAATGTGGATTTAATTGGTTGAAGTAGAACCTTCTCATGGGATGGAAGTTTTGAAGGAGCTGATTTGAGTTGATCTTCTAGTGGACATTTTAAAATGGTAACTAAGAATGGAGAGAAATGAGACTACAAAGGGCGAAGATGTAACAGGGCAGGAGCAAGGCTTCCTTCCATTAAAGAGGTACATAGGACCTCTGAGGCAAGACAGGCTTGTGGTATTTCAAATAGAATATTCTCCATTTCCATCACAAAGTATTTCTCTTGTTAACACTATTTCTTGACTGACCTAATTGGTTTTATATACAAAGCCATAAAAGCCTTTCTCTAACTAACAAGTAACTACTTGCAGTCTGCTAAGATAATAACAACACACCATTCTTTTGAATATTTGTTTAATATTACATTTAAATATTCTCTTTAAATACAGCATTATCACAATGTAAAGAACCTAAAGGGGAAATTGTTTTCAGAGAACCAGACAAGCTTTGGATTCACATTAAAAATACTACCTGGGTACAGTGTGTGAGAAAGGAACTGGAAAATAACAGAGTTGTGGTCATGAGTCATTTCTTTCATCTAGGCTTAGATGAGTGGGACTGAAGCAATCTGCTTCTATAATCAGGGCCTTGCTTTGCTAGCAACCATGAGCTATAACGTTGTCCAACTCAGATAGCACCAGAAATGAGATGGACTTAGGTTGTAGAAAAGGCCTTTTGCTTGACAATAAATGTTAAATGCTAAATAAATGCTAAATGTTTAGTATTCAGAAGTTTGGGGTCAGTTTGAGTCAGAATTATACAGTTAATGAAGGAATGGACTTAGATTAAGAAACTATAGTTTTGCAGGAATATCAAACACATTAGGGGTTGGCAATGAGTTTAATAATAATTACACATTTTAATTCATGACTCCAAAGGGCTTAATATGTAACTGGAATCCATGTCCTAAATTAAGTTGTAACCTTTCTAAGGAGGGAATGTGCAGAGCACTCCTTTAAACAAACTTTGATTATTTTCTTCTTTGAGTTGCATTCCCAGTTAAACTTCAGACTTGTGTTTGGCAGTTCTAGTCTACGTGGGAATAGCATCTACATCCCAGGGACTAAATTTTGTGAGCCAAAGGCACAGGGAGAGATAAGGATCTGTGTGTATTGAAGGACTCTCCTCTAAACATAAAGCCAGACAAAACCAGGAAAGGCAGAAGTAGTTAAAACCTATACCTGTCTTGAGTGAATGCCCTTCAGGCTGAGTTTAGAGATCATATAGGTGGAGTACTGCCACCACATACGTGAAGTTGGCTCTAAGACACCAGACCTTACTATCTCCCCCTATCCCACCAAAAAAAAGGCATTACTTTTTTCTTTTCTGAAATGAAATTTATACCATGCTTCATTTGCCAGAAATGAAGCTTGGTATAAAGATGCTAGAGAACCAGTAGTGTTCGTTCCCTGCTGCCTCCATTGTAAAAGAGGCAAAGGTATCATTGCCAATAAAGAAATCAATGTTGTTCAATGGAGACTGTGAAACATAAGCTGAACATGAGATGAGTAAGAACTGACGGAAGGAAGGTCTGAATTCGAGTTGTATTATTCTATACATTTTAAATACAATTAGATATTGAATTCAGTGGAACCTGGAAACTGTATATAGCCTTTAAGAATTGATTTGGCTTCCAACTTTTATAAATCATCCAGATGAAGGTATCTGATAAACATCTGCAGTTCTTAGTGTTGAACTGGAATAGTGTAAGAACTCTAACCCTGTATATATTCCAAGAAGGACAAGGAGTAGAAGAAAAACATAAAACAAAAATGAGTTGATGACCTTAGATTGCCACATCTTATATTCCACTTAAAGCTCCAATCTCCCCAAGGGTGGGGAGCTGATAAAAAAGCGGACATGACAATAGTAAAGTCATCTTTCCATATGGTAGGCTGTTCCTGTGGCCTCCTTTGGACATAGTTAATGCTCTATGGGATGGATGGGTGAGCCTCACCTGAAGCTGCTTGACCCAGACAGCATTAGATACATGCAGAAGCCTCAGGTTCTTCAAACCACACACCTGGCCAATATAGTTTTTTTTTTTTTCTTTTTTCCTTTCAGTCAAAGGATGGAGGAAAGAAGACAGACAAATTTAACTCTAGTATCTAAAAACATGTGAAAGAAACAATTCAAGTTATAGACCAGGAATCCCCAGTGTGGGGAGCAGGTCAGAAAACACCAAACATGTTAAATATTAACTTATTTACCAAATAGGTTCAGGGGAAGACGAGTTAAAATTTTAGACATCCTGGAGGTTTGTAGAGAAAGCAAGACCCTTCCACCCTCTCTGTAGATTCAACCAGGTGACCTTTCCAGGTGTATGATTATGATACACCAAGATGGGATGTCAGAATAACCACTGAGAGAAATGAGCTTGTCCCTGCCTGAAGCCCAGGTGAGAAGGGGCTCTGCCAAGCAAATTCTTGTGTTCTGGTCCCTATGTGAGGAACAGCAGCTTGAGTTACTCAGCTACTCCTGTGAGATCCTACATCTTTGCTTTGATGGCCCAGAATGTTTAGTACTGGGCACTGTGCAGCCTCTTCTAAGACTCCCCAGATCAAGATGGGGCCGCTCCTGGTATTGTTTCCATTTTAAAAAATACTTGTACAAACAATCCTTTCCCATCCAGTTTCCCCAAAGACCCCAATAAAATAACATGGGAGCAGCAGCTGCTTCTAGTCTTGTTTCGAAATGGCGTTAGATAAAATAAGGGAATAAATAGAGAACGGGCAAGAGGCAGGACGGTGCGCCCATGTCACACTGCCAGAGGGAGTTCTAGGGCAGACTCTTCGGGTGGCCGGTCCTCATTCTGCTGGGAGCTCTGCTCTACCCCACAGCCCTCTTCATTGTCTGTGCGGAAAGGGAGGCTTGAGGGGGACCAGGAGGGGCAGAAGTCTTCGTTCTCAGGCTCCTCGGGGTCACAGTCGTCAGGTAATAGCGCATCTAGGGTGGGTGCTTTCCCTACATCTGACTTACAGAGAGCAGCTGGGTCTGTGGGGCTGCAAGCCACCAGTGAGGTAACAGGGAGGGAGAAGACACTCACATCCTTCTCCTTGGGGAAAGAGGCTGTGCCTTCTTCGATACCAGGCTCTCCTTTTACTCCTAGGACTGGCCTCTGCTCCACCTGGTAGTAGACCAGGGGCCCACTGTTCAAGTAGGACGGGTTGTTCACCGTCGAGGCAGATGGGTGGTCCGAGTTCTCAGCAAAACATAGAACAGAGGAGCCGGGGGGCAGCTGAGCCTGGATGAGAATGGGGGCCGTGAGGCCTGGGCACAGCTCTTCAGGCACAGCCAGGGGCTCTTCCAGGATGCACACACCCAGGCTCTCAATGCTTGAGTCCAGGCTGGCACTGGAACCACTAGAGTCTTCCTCAGCCTTGAGCCGCTCCAGTTCCTCCGCACTCTGCAGGTGCATCACTGCAGTCTCATTCTCAGCGATGAACTCCTGGAAGTCCTGAGTCTCTGAGCCCTGAGCTCCTGTCAGGCTGCAGCTGGCAGTGGGTGAGGGCTCCTCCTCAGGGGCTGCTGGGCGACTCACCTGCCGCTTGCTCTCTAGCTCCAGCTTCATGATGGTATGGAGGTAATGAGTCCGCACACGGATTGGATTAAACTCTATGCGCCCAGCCATGTTCCCACAGCCATCCCTGGAGCAGCCGCATGGAAAGGACATGCGATCCACCTATAGGAGGCACAAAGAGGTTGAGGCCAGAGGAGATGGACAGATCCAGCAGGGGAGACAGGAGACATTAGTTGGCAAACTCAGGCATTTGATGCCTTCTTACACTTAAAGCAGCAATGGGGCCCACACATGACATGCAAGCCCAAGCTAACAGTTGAAATGGGACTTTTCAGACCACATGTGCTTCAACTCCAGCTCAGCCATTAATTATTGGTGTGACCTCAAGAGAGTAGATTATTTCTCCCCAGGGCTTTATTTCCTCTTTTAAGTAAGGCATTGACAAAAATCACATCAGAGGCTCCTTCCAGTTAGAAAGCCCAGAGACACATCTTTGAATACTGACAAATCCAAAAGTGGAAGAAATGCAACTTGCCTTGGGAACTTCCAGAACTTACCTGGTTCACAAACACTAAATGGCTGGGCCCAGGCCTACAGCCTTCTACAGTGGCAACAGTAAATGGAAGATCTTGCTAGTCCAAAGCAATAAATACATTTTAGAGAAACTAAACAAAGGTGCCTTAGTTTGCTAGGGCACGAGATGAGGTTCAAACAAATGGCCAGCTTTTCTCTACCTGCTTCCCTTCCCTGAAGGTTGCCCAGTTTAGTTCTGAAGCAGTCACAAGATTAACTCACAGTCTACACAGCTACCTGAAAAAGATGCTTTCTGTCTCCCTAAATCCCTTTATACCCCCAAAGGAAAAATACATACACACACATACCAATAGTTAAAAATTAAAAACACAAGGAAGCAAAAAGCAGAAATAACACAAATGTCTTCCTATAGTATGAACTTATAGGAATACTACTCCAATCCCACCGACTCTGTGTGTGTGTGGGGGGGGGGGTGTGTGTGTATGTGTGTTGGTACTAGGGCTTATATTCAGGGCCTCATACTCTCACTTGGCTTTTTCACTCAAGGCTGGTGTTCTACCACTTGAGCCACAAATCCAATTCCAGTCCCGCTAATTCTTAGGACTGTTCTGTGAATTGACAGATTCAGTATGATACTTGAGTCTGAGAAGAAGTACTTAGCCAGATCTGCTACAGCTAAAAATAACAAAAGGTTGGTCAGGAAAAGTTCAATAAGGACTCAGCATCCACAGTCTAGAGATACACGATGCAGATAAATTTCATTATTTGGGATAGTAGTAATGCTTTTCACTAAAATGTATCTTCCAAACAAAGTCTTTTGTCAGAATGCTGACATAGGAATGACCCTTCCCCTCCAGAAACTGCGGCTTTAAATTCTGCCAGGTCAGGTCTGATCTTGAATTATAGGATCTCTAAGCCATTTTTGACTCTTACAAAGTTGGAGTCGAGGTGTTGTAAGTATTTGCAGGTAGACCCCTCCACAGGCCCCTGCTTCCTTTTATCTTGAGGAAGCAGTCGGAATTCAAGCACAGTTACTAAAGTAACCATATACACCTCTGATCTTCCCTTTGCTAACAGCGCTGCTTATCCCCTCTGAGGTAGGAAACATAAAAGAGGCACCTCCACAACTTAAGAATCCTGTCATGCTTGTTTCCTTTGTTGGCGGAGGAAGGCTGAGGAACCCAAGTACGTTCATAGCCCTGGGGCCCCCATCCTGGGATGGACAGCCTTCCATCTTTACCAGTACCCCCACCACAACCCCCTGGACTTGGTGTAAATTATCTCAGGCTGACTCTGACTGACCTGGCATTTAATCCCAGCCTGGCTACAGGCACATGCTTCTGGGTCACAATACAGCCGACAGTCACATCCACACTCTTCTCGAGACAGCCGGATGGCTCGAAGTTCTTGTTTCTCTTCAGCATCAATTCGGTGGACCCCAGAAGCCCTCAGCAGGGCCCGTCGACGTTTGGTGGGCAGAGGCTGAAGGAAGAAGTAATCATCCACTTCCACATTTTCCACATCAATATCTTCATCTGAGACGTCATCCAGGGTCAGGCCATCAGCCTCCACTGACTCTACTGTCCCATTCTTGGTCAGCTGCCAAGAGATAGGAAAGGTCAACCTACAGAGCGTTAACACAAGCCTGCTCACAATGATCAGACAGCAGCACTATGTGTTGAATTGCTGCCATCATGGGAAGAAAGGCTCTGTTCCACAGAGAGATGTGAGGGCTGAGAAACTTTAAAGTTTTTAATTTTCATTTAGCCACTAGTCTCCATGACTAAGCCACCAAACTGGAGAGCACAGATTAAGTGGTAAAACTAGAGCAGAAGGATAGGAATCGTAGGCTGCTCTAAAGTCACCCCATCAACAGGTGAGACATTGCCTTTCTGGGTCCAAGTTTCTCAGTGGGTGTGGTGGTACATGCATGCCTGTAATCCCAGCTATTTAGGAGGCTAAGGCAGGTAGTCTGTGCAACAAAGCATAATACTGTCTGAAGAAAATTTTATAACCATATTTCACCTTCTCTCTTGGCAGGAAGTTGCTTATAAACATCCCCCACCAATACTCTCAGCCTGACTGCTTGATAACAATGGGGGGGGGGAGGAAAGGGAGGTGTGTGTGTGGAGGAAGGAAGATATATCAACAGGTATTTAAGGGATATACAGATAACCTTGTAAAACATCCTTCAGCTTGTACCTTACAAACCCAAAAATCTACCTTCAGGGTAAAAAGGTACATTAAAGTATATCCCATAATGTGAACAATTATTTGTGTGTGCAGAAGAGCTGCCTTTCATTAGTCAGATGAAGGGAAAAAAGGCTACTGATTAACAGCTATCAAAGAAAGCCCTTACTTCTATCCCAGAAGAAATGCATTCTCTGTCCTTTCTAATTTTTTTTTAATGTGACTTCAAAAGAAAGGCCCATATAAGGAAGAGTGGCATAAATAATATTGAGTATACTAATCTGGGCAGGAATCTGGGTGTTCTGGGTTGAGATGGACAGAGAGCAGGAAAGGGAATCTCTGTGAAAGGACAGGCTGAAGACAATCTGTGTCTGAAAGAGTTCTGCAAACTCACTAGAGAATCCAAGAAAATGAGGCCTCACAGTCCCTAGGGCTCTGAAAGCTGCTAGCAGAATGAAAGCCTAGTGACTGAAGTGTTTGGTTTATTTCATCAGACAATAAGCCTAGTGCTAGGAAAGAACTCCTGGGAGAAAGGTGATGCAACAGACCTAAGTAGTAAATCACATACCTGTTTGTTTGTTTTTTTTTCTTTTTCCTGGGGGTAGGGAGGACTGGTTGAGAAATGCAAAGCAAAGTAGGGCTTCTAGGGGCTTTCCAGTCTATTACTTTTATACCAGGTAGGCTAAGGTACCTTTCTGAAAACCTTAGGATTTGGACCTATATCATTAGATATAGTCTCCCAAGCACTCTCCCTCCTCCCATTAGAATCTCAAGGCAGGGAGATTAGAAATACAATAGAAATAATGCATGTAATAGAATTTGTGGTAGAAGTGGCATTTCAAATTAGTGACAAGTCTTCTAGTCACTGGTATTGCAATGTCTGCATATTCTTTAGGAAAAGAATAAATTTTTGGGGAAATTTCTGGGAAAGAACAGAATGAATTCTATATGGATAAAACAGCAAAATATAAACATGACAAAACTAAAATATTAGCAGGGAACACAGCTCAAGTGGTGTGTACTTGCTGGCCTGCTTAAGGTTGTAGGTTCAATCTCCAGAACTAATAAAATATTGAGGAAAAAAAGATGGGCACCGGTGGATCATACCTAACTGAGGAGGCTGAGATCTGAGGATCGCAGTTCGAAGCCGGCCCAGGCAGAAAAGACCCTTTATCTCTAGTTAATCACCCCAAAAGCTGGAAGTGGAGCTGTGGTTCAAGTGGTAGAGCACTAGCCTTGAGCACAAATGTTCAGAGAAAGTGCCCAGCCTCTGAGTTCAAGTACCCCCTCAAAAAAAAATTGAGAAAAATTACATATAATGAAAATGAAGTAACTCCCAAGATGTAAATGGAATGGTCCAAAGGAAAACATACATTAGATGGTATTTGAGAGATTCAGAATGCATGGGTGTATGTGTGCCAGCTGCCTTCCTTATATACCATTAAAGACGGGGGTGGGGGGGAAAGAAAAGAATAAACAACCTGGAAAGGGTAAAGTACAATAATACATCTAGCATCAAGATGTACCAAATACCAGCACTGCTATACTCACTAAACACTCTAAGTAGGAATTTAAATTTCAGTCTTGAGTTTGTCTGGCATTACCTCTAGAATTCCTAGAAGCGGGTCACAACAGGATGGTAACCTGTTTAGAAAAATGACTCTTCTACCAGATTTAGGAGGGAGGGATTGTTTTTTAGAGAAAGAAAAGAATGCCTTCATTAGAACTGATGAAAAGAGTTATTTGCCCAGCTGTTGCTATAGCAGCAAGAAGGTGACAGAGTTGGTGATGGAATTCCTCAGAAGAAAGGCAAGGCTGAATGTCATTCCAGTTAGAGAAACAGGTGCAAGGCTTTAAGGCCAGGCTGACAGTTCTCAGAGGGAAAGGCATGGGATCTTGTAAGCCTAAATCCTCTTCCACCAGTTCTTTTTTTTTTTTAGAACTAGTTGTGGGGCCTGAACTCTGGGCCTGGGCACTGTCCATCAGCTCTTCAACTCAAAGCTAGCACTCTACCACTGAGCTACAGTGCCACTTCCAGCTTTTTTCTTTTTGCTTATGTGGTGCTGAGGAATCGAACCCAGAGCCTTAGGCATGCAAGGCAAGCACTCTACCACTGAGCCACCTTCCCAGCCCTCTTCCACCAGTTCTGTACCTCACTCTTGGTGAATTTCACCTATGACCCTGGAAATAATGCAGCCAGCATGCTTTGGACTAAAACAAACCCACATTTTTTGTTTTGTTTTTCTGTGTTGGGAATGGAACCCATGGATTCATACAATAGGTGAGTGTTCTACCCCTGAACTGCACCTCCAGTCCTGGGGTCTAGGAGACTTATACAAATGATAGTCACGGAATGGCAAACTGGGTGAAGATAGCAAATGAATGGCTAAAAAGAGCTATCTGTAATAAGTCTTCTCCTAAGCTGAAGAGCTGGTGCTTTATCAGATAGTATGCACTGTATTATCCAAATCTAAGTAAATATGTAATAATGTTGTTTGCACCAGGAAGATTATCAATCATCTAGGGTCACAGAAACAGCAGGCCCCCTTTCAGAGAAGGTGAAAAATCCTAAACCAGCACTGAGAAAAGAGATAATCTTTTGACAAAATATTTAAAACTGTGCTTCTTGTAAAGCCCAGTAGTTCACTCCTTATAATCATTCCTATAATCCCAGCTACTCGAGGAGGCAAAAATAAGGTGGACTGAAGTTCAAGGCCAGCTCAGGCCAACTGTGAGACCCCTATCTCAATCAATATGCCAGGCATGAAGGCATGCCCCTATGATGCCAGCAGCGTGAGAGGCGTAGTCAGGAGGTGGCATAGGTAGGGTATTGTGTTTGGAGGCTGGCCTCATCCAAAAACTACAGAACCTACCTGAAAAAGAACTAAGCAAAAACAACAACAACCAAGTCTAAAGGTGTGGCTTAATCAGCAAAACCTCTGTCTACTAAGTGTGAGTCCCTAGTTCAAACCCCTGTACTAGGGAGAAAAAAAACCAAAACCAACAAAAGAAACAGTATTTTGGAGGGTGGGGGGCGCCCACTTCTTTGGGTTTCCATGGTGACAGACTTAAAATATTTCAGGCATTCACATTTTAAGTGTTTTGTGGGTTTTTTTTTTTTTTTTTTTTGCTGGTCCTGGGGCAGAACTCAGGGCCTGGGCACTGTCTCTGGACTGCTTTTGCTCAAGGCTAGCACTCTACCACTTGAACCATAGCAACATGGCTTTTTCTGTGATTAATTGGAGATAAGAGTCTCATAGACTTTTCTGCCTGGGATGGCTTAGAACCATGATCTTCAGATCTCAGCCCAAGTAGCTAGGATTACAGGTATGAGCCAAGCCACCAGTACTGGGCCATTTTAAGATTTTTTTTTTTTAATTGTTGCCTGTAATGGTAGCTACTGGGGAGACTGAGGTCTAAGAATCTAAGGATTGTGATTGGAAGCCAGCCCAGGCAGAAAAGTCCCTGTAAGACTATTATCTCTAATTAACCACTCAAAAAACTGAAGTGGTGCTGTGGCTCAAGTGGTAGAGCACTAAACCTTGAACACAAAGAGGCTCAGGAATAGTGCCCAGGCCCACAACCGAGAAAAAAAAAAAGGCTGGCCTGGAACTAGTGGCTCATGCTTGTCTAATGCTTGTAATCCTAGCTACTCAAGAGGCTGAGAGCTAAGCAGTTCAAAGCCAGCCACGGCAAGAAAGTCTGAGACTCTCAGCTCCAATTAAGCACACATACACACAAAAGGCAGGAAGCAGCACTTGGCACAAGTGGGAAAATGCTAGCCTTGAGCAAAAGAGCTCAGGGATAGAGCTTAGGCACTAAATTCAAGCCCCAGAACCAGCAAAAAAAAATGTTGCAGGGATAGTGGATAAGCAGGGGAAGGCATTTTGCTATCTCTAACAGAAATCCTCTAAAAGATGACAAGAAAGGCTCAGAGGCTCAGATTGAGATTTGATTGCAGATCTGACACTTATTCCAAAGAGATGAAATCTCTAAGTACCAAAATAAATTTAAAAATAAATAAATGGACAGGAATTGGAAGTATGGCTCAAGTGCAGAGTGTCAGCCCTGAGTGAAAAAGCCAAGCAAGAGCAGTGAAAGGCCGAGTTTAAGCCCCAGCATCAGTATTGTTATGTATTAACAACAAAAAACAATGGGTAGCCCAGCATGGCAACACAACCCTGTATGTAACTTAACACCTAGGAGTTTGAAGCAGGAGAAATGTGAATTGGAAACCACCTTCTCATATATATAAATGGCTAGTTCCAACCCAGCCTGGGCTACACTGAGACTGTCTCAAAAAAAAAATATGCATGCATACATATAAACATATAAATGGGCCTTTCCTTTGCTGAGGCATAGGGAAAGTACCAGACTCCTTAATCACCTTCATTTTCTTGGCATGGAGTTTCTCCTCCTTCAGGTGCTCACGAAGAATCTCTCGATGGTTCACCTCCTGTTCTTGTGCAAACTCACAGAGTGTGTAGCTGCGTACAGAGTTATGGCGCTGGGCCATGCCCAGAGAGCTACCGCCCTGGCTGGGCACACTGGTGAAACCCTGGCGCCTGGCAAAGTAGTATACAGTCACCTGGTCAAAGCGCACATTCTTCCTCCGTAGCTGTTTCTGCCGCTTCAGGATGGATGTGGCTGAAAGGAGCAGAGACAAGGTCATTAACTCAGACATGGCCTGTTCAGGGCCCTCCCCCTTTCTTAAGCATGAGGCCCTTAAACTCTTTCCCACATTCGTGTTGCCTGTCCCTACAGAACTCTCTAGTTTTTTTCAAATCATAAATGCACAGTTGGTAGGGTCCTTGAACTCAGCTGGTTCACACCACTGCCTCAAGACTAACTTCATCTAAATAGATGGCCGCAAAACTTTATTTTTAGATAGCAACTGGGAAGAGGACAGCTAGGTAGTCTTTTCAGGATGTAATAATCAATCGCTTCACTGGCCACCTGAGGCAGTTTAATTAAAATTACGAAGATTTAAAAATTCAGCTCCTCAGTTACACTGACAATATTTCAAGTGCTCATGGGCCACATACAGCTAATGGCTACCAATGGACAAGGTAGATAAGGAACATTTTTATCATGACATTAAATTATACTGGACAATATAGACAGACATACAGAGAAGATAATACTCCCACCCCAACCCCTTATAGTCATCTAGATAGTCTACTGTTATACCATGAAAGCAATCACAGACAATGGTGTGACTGTATTCCAATAAAAATTTATTTATAAAAATAGGTAGTGGGGGCTGGGAAGGTGGCTCCGTGGTAGAGCGCTTGCCTTGCATGCCTGAGGCCCTGGGTTCGATTCCTCAGCACCACATAAGCAAAAAGAAGAAAGCCGGAAGTGGCGCTCTGGCTCAAGTGGTAGAGTGCTAGCCTTGAGCTGAAGAGCTAAGGGACAGCACCCAGGCCCAGAGTTCAGGCCCCACGACCGGGCCCCCCCCCCAAAAAAAAAATAGGTAGTGGGTCAGATTTGGTCATGGGCAAAATAAGACCAGAACTTCTTTGTGTGTGTGTGCTGGTACTTTGGCTTTAACTCAAGGCTTAGGCACTGTCCCTTAGCTTTGTTGCTCAAGGCTGGTGCTCTACCACTTAAGCCACAGCTTCACTTCTGGCTTTTTGGTGGTTAATTGGGAGATAAGAGTCTCACGGACATTCCTACCCAGGTAGCTTCAAACTAGGATCCTCAGATCTCAGCCTCCTGAGTAGCTAGGACTACAGGTGTGAGCCACTGGTGCCTGGCCTGTCATCATATTTAAAATGCCAAAGAACTATTTGAACTATAAAATGAAGAAATCTAGATAGAGGTAGCCCAGCTGTCTAGTCAGTAGCACTTGTGTCCTGCTACAGCAATATTTCCTGAAATTCTAGGGGAGTTTGTCGGGGAAAAGGATGAACATCTGAACTCCCATTCTAGGAACCCACAAACCATGATGTACTTAAAAATAGCTGGAGTAAGTCACACTTCAGTCTATGCTCTTGGAGCGATGAGGTATTCCAAGAGCAAGAAAAGACGACCTGGGCAAATCCTCAACTGGACAGAAGCAGTCTCAAGCTGTAATGACTCTCGGCTTGGGGAATGTGGGGGGCCAAGCAGGGAGGAATGGCTCACTCACGTGTGAAGCTGGTGGTTGTGGGAGGATTGAGGCTGTCGCAGCTGTCAGCACTGTCACTGCTGGAGATTTCATCGTCGGAGTTGGAAACTGATGAGCCCACATCCACATCATCAAACTTCCTCTTGAGACCAGAGCCCGTGAATGCATCCATTGGGTTTCAGAGGGTTTCCTTGTGGAGCCTACCACACTGGTTCCAAAGCTCCTGCTCACCACCAGTTAACCAGATGCATTAGGAGTCTGCCCAAGGGAAAATAGGTGTCACCATTCCTGTCCTAAGACAGGACCCCTTTCTAAGTCTACACACACAGCTCTCAAACTGAAGAAAACACATTTGACCCAGCACCAACATCTGGTTTCTCTACTGATTCCAGCCAACATTTTCCTACTCTCCCTTCAGCCCCTCCAGTCCCAATCACTCTTATAATAATGATATGAGTAGCCACAGCTCTCTTCTTTTTGGAGGGAAGGCCTAGGGTTCAAATCCAGCTGGGCTTAGGCATCTTTAGCCCAGACTAACAGACACTGTTCTAGTTACACAGGAGAGCTCTCCAAGGGCCCAATTGGAGGAGCCGGGGATCAAAGGCAGAATTAGGCTTTGCCTAAACATAAGTTAGACCCAATTATTTTTCCTAGTGATAATATAGCTTGGCATTCCCCAAAGTATGTATCTTAAATATACTAGTTATATGGATATTAATAGCTTTTACACAAAAATAGGACTGCTATGTCATAATAATCAGTTTAGAAAACTGCTTAGAGCAGAACCGCTTAGAGGCTTTTAATATACTAATGAGCATGGTGAACGCTGGGAGAAAACCCAGAAAGCAGTTTCACAAACCTGATTGTGGAACCTACTGTTTCCAAAGTATGTGAGGGGGCAGATAATCTCTGGAACACACTTTGGGAAATATTGCTTCAAGCTTTTAATCTTAAAGGGCATCCACAGTCAGGAAAGCCCTTGACCCAGATCTTCACAAGTGTGAAGAGTCTCACAGGGTCCTCAAAAGGGCAAATGTAGTACTAAAGGATTCAAGATTAGAATCTATACTAGCTTCAAAACCCAGAAACTGAGTAAGGTGCTGGCTGGTGGCCTGTAATCCTAGCTACTCAGGAGGCTGAGATCTGAGAGTGGTGGTTCAAAGCCAGCCCAGGCAGGAAAGTCTCTGAGATTCTTAAACCACTAGAAAACCGGAAGTGGTGCTGTGGCTCAAGTGATAGAGCACTAGCCTTGAGCTGAAGAGCTCAAGGACAGCGCCCAAGTCCAGAGTTCAAGCCCCACAACTGTCAAAAACAAAAAACAAGAAAATAGGACTTGGGGTTATACCACAGTAGTAGAATGCTTGCCTAGCATACACAAGGCACTGGGTTCAATTCCCAGCACTACAAATTTAAAAAATTAAAAAAAAATCTTTCACAATCTCATATTGGCCTAGCATCATCATCATCATCATCATCATCATCGCCAATGTGAGAAAAACATAGCTTTATAATTTCTGCCCTTTTAAAAGGAAACAGTAAAAAAAAATAGTAAAAGAACAGATAATTTACTGTTTACAGCAATATGGCAGACAGTGTTTCAACATGCTATCCTGCAACAAAGAAATCTGAAAGCTCATTTCCTAGGTTCAAGTCTTTCTCCTCTGTCTTTGGACTTGAGTTACAGGAGGACACAAATCTGCCCAAGAGGAATGCTGTGCAGACCAAAGCCGCATGTGATGAGGTATGAGAGAAGCCTCCTTTGCTTTGCCTCAGTAATGCCAGAATCACCCAGACTATGATCTCACTAGTTGCTAATTATGCAGCAGGAATAACAACACTGCCCAGAACTACTGGGCTGCATTACTGCAGAGCAACTACCCAGAATATACTGTAGTGGCAAGAAGTACCTGCTACAGAGTTGTTTTTTCTAAACTATGTCTCCTGGAAGCAATTTAGATCAGTTCTACAAAGTCAACCAGATCTAAGAAGTATTTTAGAGAACATAATTCCTAATCTATCTACTCAGATCATGACAATTTCTGTATTCAAGTCACAGATGTACCTAAAGACTTCAGCCGTCCTAAGTCTCAGACAAGCACATTCCTCAGATAAATTTGGCCAGGGAGGGGGAAAAAAATCAAGCACTTGCTAAGAATTATAATTAAATTTTAAAATAAATCCAAAATACGAGTTGTGTTTTTCAGGCTACTGATCAGAGGTCACATTCTTAGGACATGGTAAGAATGGAGAATGCCAAGGACATTTTATGGGTTAGGATTTTTAGCTGGCTAACAAATTTCTCATTCTGTCCTATTATTGGGTGCATGGGCACAGGGCAACACCCTTGTAATTGAGTGCACGTGAGTACAATGAAAACAAAGAGAAATGTTGATACTGAATTTAATTTTTCCTTCTTACTTAATACCTTATCAACCACATGAGAAATCATGAGCAGAAAATCTGCTTTCTCAAAAAGGGATTAAATCCTTCTTCAGTTTTAATGAAGTTATAGGTTCTTTCTCTGATAGCAATTACTAGAAAGGGGGCTTTATTCTCACCCTGGAAGCATGCAAGGATTTCTGGTTAGAAGAAAATGTGCAGTCCTCTAATTTCCTCAGTTGTCCCTTTGCTTTTGGTGGTATGGGGTTTCTTTGAAAATTGTGTGTGTGTGTGTGTGTGTCTGTCTGTCTGTCTGTGCCCATCCTGGACCTTAGACACTGGGCTTGGATGCTGTCCCTTAGCTTTTTTTCACTCAAGGCCAGTGCTCTACCACTTGAGCCACAGCTTCACTTCCAGCTTTCTGGTGGTTAATTGAAGAGTGGACTTTCCTGCCCAGGCCAGCTGACTTTGAACTGAGTCACACGTAAATGTGCGTTTGTTCCAAAATCATCTTATTACTAAAATTCTACACCACCTTATCACAGTGGGCCTCAAAGTATCATTTCTCTTTAGGTTACTTTTTGTGCTCTTGAATGTAACAAGGGTTCTAAACTATTTGTTTCAATCTCTCCTGGTCTTTTTTCCTATGCCTTCTCTACCTCTGCAGCTGGAATAATGGTCTCTATGCAATGATGAGGTAGATAGGGAAGCAGGATAAAAGATAAAGATATTAAACTTAGGAGAAAAATTTCCTTAGGCTGATAACAATCAGATCTATGTGGGTTATAGTCCATTAAAGGGCTGGGGATATAGCTCAATGGTAGAGCACTTGTATAACATACATGAGGACTTAAGACCCTCAGCACCACAAAAACAAGCAAAAAAATATTTAATCAACTTGGATAGTACTTTGGAAATTTTTCTCCTACTTTAGCTCTCTTCACCTTACCTAGACCTATCTGCATCACTTTCTCTGAAATTAATTTCATTAGTTATTTTTAATTGCATTTATCATTCCTTGACAACCAATATAATAATACAAGTTGACATTTCAATTCCACTCTCCTTAGCCAACTCTTTGATGCAAATTTTACTTGTTTATGGGCACCAAAAACAAACCACTCACCCACTTCCATAGTGACCTGAAGAAATCTTTTTTCTTTTTCTCTTATTCTAGTGTCAGCTATAATAGATTCCGTGCTTTTCAATTCATCAAACTCATCTTTAATAGAAGCCAATCATTCCCATCTCTCTCAAATATTCAATGGTAGAGGATCAATGCTATATTCAAGGGATAAAATTGTAAGTTATACTCTACGCACTTTAAAATAAAGTTGAGCTCGAATAACATAGAGAAATAAAGATGAGACTAGAATTCTGTACTGATAACTGACAGTTAATTGTCGAAAGGACCAACTCAAACAAAGGCTTTTGCTCAAATAATGTATCTCTCTGTAAAAGCTTTGAAATGTTAAGTGAAATGAAAATCAGTTGATACTTTCTGACTACATGCCTTTAGTCTTAAAGAGTGTCTAGCTGATTTCCCAAGAGTATATGAAATAGTTCAGATCTACCATATATAGAAGACATTCGGTTAATACCAAATAACACTAGCATGTATAGCCGGGTACCAGTGGCTCACTCCTGTAATCCTAGCTACTGAGGAAGCTGAGATCTGAGGATCATGGTTCAAAGCCAGCCCAGGCAGAAAAGTCTGTGAGATTCATCTCTAATTAATGACTAGAAAACTGGAAGTGGCGCTGTGGCTCAAGCGGTAGAGCGCTTGCCATGAGCTGAAGAGCCCAGGGAATAGCGCCCAAGCCCAGAGTTCAAGCCCCACGACCGACAAAGAAAAAAAAAAACAAGAACAATAACAACAACAAAAACAACTAGCATGTATATTTGCGGGGGGTTGTGGGGGCTGAACTCTGGGCCTGGGTGCTATCCCTTAGCTCCTCAGCTCAAGGCTAGCACTTTACCATGTGAGCCACGGCACTACTTCCAGCTTTTTCTGCTTATGTGGTGCTTAGGAATCGAACCCAGGGCCTCATGCATGCAAGGCAAGCACTCTACCACTGAGCCACATGTGTATTTTAGTACTAGATCTAAGTTTCTTCAGTCCTAGAAGATTCCTATAACTACCAAAACCTACCAACCAATGATCAGCACATATAAGACTACTAGGAGAGATAGCCAAGGGGGAAAAAAATCTGTGGAAGCAGAATGTATATGCAAAGTTTAGGTAATGTAAGCCTATTAAAAGTCTCAAATAAAAAGAAAGAGAAGCTGGGCACCAGTGGCTCATGCCTGTAATCCTAGCTACTTAGGAGGCTGAGATCTGAGGATCATGGTTCAAAGCCAGCCCGGGCAGAAAAGTCCGTGAGACTCTGATCTCCAATAAACCACTAGAAAATCGGAAGTGGCACTGTGGCTCAAGAGGTAGAACACTTGCCTTGAGCTGAAGAGCACAGGGACAGTCCCCAGGCCCAGAGTTCAAGCCTCACGAGGGACAAAAAAAAAAGAAAGAGGAAGGGGGGAGAGGGGAGGGAGGAGGAGAGGAAGGGAGGGAGGAAGGAAGACATCTTACAGGAGAAAGGATTTTCAATGAACTGGAACACAATCTCCTGTTAAAGGACAAGGGACTCAAATCTCTAGTAAGATTGTCACAGCTACCCAGAGGGGTTTTCCTTTTTGCTTATGTGGTGCTGAGGAATTGAACCCAGGGCCTCATGCATGCAAGGCAAGCGCTCTACCACTGAGCCACCTTCCCAGCCCCCCAGTGGGGTTTCAAGAAAGGCAGGCTTGTTACTAAGTTTTATGATGAACCTGAATAAGATGATGGCATGCCCTGTTTCCCTTTTATAGTATGGTTGATTATCAAATACTACAACTTTCATGCATCCGGATGTCCTCTTATCACCAGGACCATGAACTCACAAATAACTCAAGTGAAAAACTCCTGTTTAAGCTAGGTATTTAAAAGAAACTCCCACCCCCTATTTGCCC